GCAGAGCCCAGGGGAAGGGAGACCGAGTCCAAGACGGTGGCTGGAAACCAGGAAAGCATCTCCTCTCAGTGGTGGCTCTAGGTCAGGGGACAAGGACAGCCAGCACCTGCCCGTGGGGACCCACTGGTCCCTTCCCCCTTGTGAGATCTTCTCCCCAGCTGTTGGGTCATGCCCCGGCCTGACCACCATGAGAACCAGTCCCCGAAGTCCGTCCTGGTTCTTGTTCAGATGTGGATTCACTTCTCCAGGCCATTTTCCTGCTTGTTCCTGGCTCTCTCTGGATCCCCTGAAATGTTTACAGCCCACCCCCCCGCTCCCAGGAGAGAAGGGATCTGCCAGGGACGGTGGGAAGAAAAGTGGGGTAGCAGTCAAGATGGGAGGAAGGGCTCTAGCCGGTTTGGCTCAGTGGATAGAGCGTCAGCCTGGGGCCTGAAGGGTCCCAGGTTCGATTTTGTGCCTTGGTTGCGGGCACATCCCCAGTAGGAGGTGTGCAGGAGGCGTCTGATCAATGTTTCTCTCTCATAGATGTTTCTAACTTTCTATCCCTCTCCCTTCCTGTATGTAAAAATCAATAAAATACATTATGAAGAAGAAGAAGAAGAAGAAGAAGAAGAAGAAGAAGAAGAAGAAGAAGAAGAAGAAGAAGAAGAAGAAAAAGAAGAAGGAGGAGAGGAGGAGAGAGATTAGGAGGAGGCGGAGGAAGAAGACAGAAGAAGAAAGAATAATAAGAATGAAGAAAGAAGAAGAAGACGAAGAAGACATAACAGATTGGAGGCAGGGCCCTAGGACTCCCTGGCCGACCCTAACTCCTTGAGGGTGACTCCCAGTCTCCAAATGGTCCCTGGTTCTTTTCCCTCCCACCCAACCCCCACCCCAGTGTGAAAGGGAGGTGCTGTCTGTGGTTTCCAATCTGTGCTCGCTGGAGCCCTAAATTCCTGAGGCAGTGCCTCAGGGTGAGGTAGAGGGAGGACCGAGAAGGGGGGAAGGAGAGGGGACCGCCTCAAAGGCCCACTAGAGCAGCCAGCTTTCATATGTGCTGGGGATGCAGCCAAGGACAAAACTCAGTCTCTGGCCCTGGCTGGTTTGCTCAGTGGATAGAGCATTGGCCTGTGGACTGAAGGGTCCAGTGTTCAATTCCAGTCAAGGGCACATGCCTGGGTTTTGGGCTCAATCCCCAGTAGGAGGCGTGCAAGAGGCAGCCGGTCAATGATTCTCTCGCATCACTGATGTTTCTCTCTCTCTCTCCCTTTCCTTTCCTTTTTGAAATCAATAAATGTATATATTAAAAAGTTAAAAAAAAAAAACAAAAAACTTTCAGTCTCTGCCTTTACATGGCATCCTAGTCAGGGGAGGCAGAACAGAATAAAAAAATACACATAAATGCATAGGACTCGCCCAGTAAGAAGCATGATAACGTAAGGCAGGGGAGGCACAAGGAGTGGGAAGAGGTTCCTGTGGCCAGGAGAAGCCCCTCTGACGGCAGCACAGGCACAAAGTTATGGGGGCTGTGCACATCTGGGGGCCGTACACATCTGGGGGCTGGGGTTCCAGACAAAAAGCAGCCAGAGCCCGTGAGCTGACCGGGGCTGCCCAGCACTCGTGGAGCCTTCACGCAGCGCTGAGAATGTCTGGGAGCCGCGAAGGTGGTGAGGGCCGGGCCAGCCAAGCGAGATGCTCAGGTTTCCTTCAGAGGGACGGAGAGCCATTAGAGAACTCAGAAACAGTGTGGCATAAACAGATCTATGGCTTAAAAGCAAAAGATAAATAAAAAGGCACCCAAGTACGTTTGGCAGGCTTCCGGTGTCCTGGCTGCTCCACCATCACTGTCAACAGAGCAGAGTCTCCAATGCCCTTTTTGTGCATTCCAGGAACAGAAGAAAACAGACAAAACGTCCTCTTTCTTTGCATCAGAAAGGTCCTCCTGACCGGCTAAGCCCCAGACTACGGGGGCTGGTTTCGCAGCCCCCCGTGGCCATTTGGAGCAGAGTTCTGAATATCCTCAGACCGGGAAGAGGTTCTCAGGTTTAATAAAACAAATTAATGCAAATTCATGTCGCTCGAATAACAGAAATTCCTCACCACTCGTAGGAGAGGGGAGCTGCGTGTCCGAAAGCCCCAGAGTCACTGATTAACGCCCCAAGTCCAAGGCCGGGAGAGGGTCCGCGGCCCGTTACGCGCTCGTACGCTGCTAGCCTTTCCCACGAGACTTTGCAAAGCAAACGAGACGCTTGTTTAAATATTTACCAGCTTGTTGACCCGTTTTCTGTTGTTGTTGTTAATTAGAATTTTTCTAAAAGAAAACAAACACTGTAACAGCAAATTAATCCAGACAGCCTCAGACAGGGAGACCGCTCAGCCCGGCTACGGCTAAGCATAAAGTCAAGATTATAGCGTCCGAGGGGAGACATTCATTAGGAATATCAAAGGCAGGCTCTGAGCGCAGAGGTGAAGGCCCCACTCCTGCCCCCAATCTGTGGCTGTTAAATTAACAATAGAGGTGAAAACATTGTTTAGAGTATAAAGAGTCTTCAGCAACTGTTTTTCTGTCATTTTCCCTTACATGTGCAGGCAGCCCCAAACCTCTTTCCCCTATAAAAGGAGGTTGGCTGAACAATTCTGTAACTGTTCCTACAAAACAAAAAAAGCTATTTTTAAGATGTTGCGTTGGAGTCTTTTGCTTTTTTAAAACTTTTGATGGCTTCTGATGGCTTAGTAGGAGCCTTCAGGTTACGTGAACAGATCCTGCTTGCTCCCCTCTGGGCCTCTCAGAGGCCAGGCTGAGAGACCCTCCGGATCACAGGAACAGAGGGTTTTATGTCTGCGGATGAAGGCCTCTGGACTCCAGCCGCCCTTGCCAAACACAGAGTTTGCTCAGAAAGGTTCAGCAAAAATGCGGGCCCCGAGCAGGAGCTGTTGCCCGTGGCGACCGTGGAGTGGAGGTTGCCATGGAAAGGGAACAGCGTTTCCGTGGTGGTCACAGAATTTCTCTAAACGGACCAGACTTGGAGCCAGTGCCGCAGCTGCGGGACCAGGTTATTAACCGTGGCATGTCAGCGGCAGTTAGTCCTACGCGGCTAAGTGTTGAGCGTGAATGTCTCCCTCCCAGCAGCCGCAAGAGGTAAATAATGTTGTGATCCGCTTCTCTCTGACTAGGAAGCTCAGGCTCCAAGGTCATCCGGCCAGCTCTTCTGTGTCACTGGACTCTTTTGCCCAAGCTGAAGCTCCCAGCTGGAGGGGAAATGCCCACCTAACCCTGACGCCCGGAGATTCTCCTCACCCGCTTGGAAGCTTTGCAGGGAAGGTGACCCGGGGCGTCTCCCAGCGGAATGGTCTCTCCTTCTGCTCTCATGTAAGCCCGGTGGCAGGGTGGAAGTCCAACGAAAGAGGAAGTGAATTAGAGAGAGCTTCAAATCCTTTGCCACTCCTCCCATCAAAAAGTGAAATTGGCCCCGACCAGTTGCTCGCTCAGTGGTTAGAGCGTTGGCCTGAGGACTGAGGGGCCTGGGGTTCAATTCCAGCCAAGGGCACGTACCTCCATTGCAGGCTCCAATCCCGACTGTAGTTGGGGCACGAGTAGGAGCAACCCGTTGATGTGGCTCTCTCACATTGATGTTTCTCCCTCTGTGTCTCTCCTCCTCCCTTCCACTCTGTCTAAAAATCAATGGAAGCCCTTGTCAGTTTGGCTCAGTAGATAGAGCATCAGCCTGTGGACTGAAGGACCCCAGATTTGATTCCGGTCAAGGGCACATGCCCAGGTTGCAGGCTCGATCCCCAATGTGGGGCCTGCTGGAGGCAGCCAATCAACAATTTTCTCTTGTCATTGATGTTTCTCTCTCCCTCTCCCTTCCTCTCTGAAATCAATGATATGTATATATCAATGGAAACAATATCCGCCGGTGAGGATTAACAAAACAAAAAGCAGCAACATCGATTGCCCTTCCCTCTGAAGAATGAGGACTGGCCCTGTTTCTTGCTGTGACTGCTGGAAGGTGGCCGAAGGAAAACCATGTAACCCCTGAGGCTGGGCCTTATGGGATGCCCAGCTTCTGGTTTTGTCTGCTTGGTGCTCTCCACTCAGAACTTGGCCACTAGCTGTAAGACGCATGAAGAGGAGAAGCAAATTGCTTCCTATGTTCATCACAGCCCCAGTGGGGCCCGGCCGCAGCCAGCACCACCTGCCGGCCTTGCCAGTGAGTCCTCTGGGTGTTGCAGCCCACTCAACAGCACGTGGAGCAGACGAACTGTCCGGCTGAGCCCAGGCAGCCTCAGAATCCTGAAAGACAATAACTGGTGGTGGCACTGGTTTTAAACCACTGAGTTGTGGGGTAGTTTGTTTCACAACAGTAGATAACCAGTCTGTTCACCCAGGAAAATGCCCTCTTGGACAAGACAGATCTGGAAGGTGTTGCATTTGTATGTGGTTCACCTGGCTCTGATGGGATGTGGCCAGGTAAGAACCCTCCCTGAGAAGGTTCCTTGTTTGCATTTCGGGGAGGATATCTCTGAGGAGGGCTGGGCACGTGGCAGTGGTGTCTGTGGCCCCCGCTGAGTCAGGGCATTTGTGTCTTCCCACAGCATCCCTGACATACTTCCATTTTGAACACCTGGGTCTTTGCAGGCCTAACGAGGCCTGAAGCCAGAGAGCAGGTGTGCCTGGCCCAGAATTCAGGAGGAGAGAGTCTAGAATTGGCCAAGCCACCAGGGGCCGGAAACCCAACACACGCAACTTACAGTAAAAGCAATGCTTTTACTGTTGAATCCAGATATCATGAAGGCCCATCTCTCTCTTTCTCTTTCTTTGGCAAGTTACTGAACTTAATCCTCATGACATTATCATGAGGGTTAAAAGTGAAAATATATGTGAAGTTCTCAGTGCCGTACCTGCAGGACTTAGGTGCTCCATCAATAGATCCCCTTCCGAATTCATGGTGGTTTTTGTTTGCACATGAAAATGGACCGGGACTCCACAGACTATAGGGGGGTGAAGGCGGGCTTGGAGAGGCCAATGGGGGGGAAAAGGAGACATATGTAATCCTGTAAACAATAAAGACTTAAAGAAAATGGACTGGGACTCTGCAAAGGCAGTTAACGATGTGCCATGTGAGGGGAGCACATTCAAGGTTTATATTTGCACCTGTTGTTTTGACTCTCTGCAGTACCTATAGGACTCTGGCTACACCAAGATGACCTTCCTGAAGTCACCAGTGCACTGGGGTGGGTTCTGTGCACAGTGCTCTCTTCCTAACACCCTCTTGAGTGCACGCCCTCCCCCCTACACCCCCCAGCCCCACCCCAGGCTGTCCTCCGAACTGTGCTGGCCTCGTTTTTTTGTCCAGCCTGACCTTTGGCAAAAGGTAATCCATCTGCTCACTGTGGAGCTACAAGAGCCTCCCATCAAGTGTAAATGGACGGGCGGCCTCAGATCCATTCACACCTGATGAAGAGCTGACTTGCCCCGCACTGGTGTTTATGGCCTCGTGTTGTTGTGTGTCTGTTTCCCCACAGATGTGTTTAATCAAACCCTCACGCCCTCCTTACTTCCCATCGATCTCCATGGCTGGGCTGCCAGACCTCTGAGTTGCCGTCTACTCTGACTACCCTTGCGCTCGCCTAGCCCAGTCATCAGAGCTGGTTCTGAACTCCGGTTCTGTGGGGCTGCTTTGGATCTGTGAAGCACGAGTTACAGTTCTTTTTCTTGCGAGAGACGCAACCCCACATTCCTTTTTTTTTTTTTTTTTTTCTCCAAAGAGAGGAGATGAGGCTGACACATGGAGGAGGGACACAGTGTTTATTTGTGGGTTCCTTAAGGCAACGGAGGAAGCTGAGAGGCCACTGGAGTCTAGTTAATGAGCAGGTTATACAATATTCATTGTGTTGAGTTCAACTCTTCAAACAGAACGTCTAATTGCGAGAGGAAAAGAAAGCAGCTAAATACAGTTGTTGAGACAACAAAGCTTGGGAAGGACTCAGTGCTTCCTGCACTAACCACGGGCTGACGGCACCCAGCGGGTCCTGTGCTCCCCTGCTCTTCTCATTAGCTCTGTTCTGAGACACTACAGGGTCTGAGGAGGCCCCTGAGAGGCTGGGACGACGGCTCCTTCGAGGACTGCTTTTTTGCTATCCACAGAGGGGGCGATCCAGTTGTATTCAGCTTCAACCAGGACGCAGCTGTTCTCCCCATGCACAGCCTCACCCTCGTCACTCCTGGCAACCGCACCCACTGCAGGCTCCTTGAAGGACACCCCTGACCATTTGTGGCAACAGTGGGGATGCAGATAGCAAAGGCCAGCAGCCAAAACCATGCCCAAGGTGGCCAAAGGCAAAGCAGGATTCCCACTTGGAGAGGGGGCATGGGCTCCCTCTTGCCCAGCCTCGGGCCTTGGGTGGATCTTCCCTGGGGTAGCCCACCCTGCCCTCTCCATTTCCCTCCCCCTCTCTGAGTTCCCCGTGCTTTGGCTGAGGCAAAAAGCTGGCAGAGGCCCCAGCCGCCTCCAACTGGCCAGCAGTAGTGAGTGGCCCGGGAGAGGCCGAGGTGTGGAAGACAAGTGTTGGGTTGGCTGCCCCAGTGCCAGTTCCAGCCCCAGCCCCAGCCCCAGCCAGCGTTCCAGAAGGCCAGAGGCGCTGAGGATAGGTAGACGGATGGTGACCAGGGGATGCCTCATCACAGTCCTGTCAGAGGCCTCCACCTTGTCCTAGAGAAGCAGAGGGGAAGTCAGAGGGGCTGGTCTTCACCCAAGCTGCCACTGAACATTGCAGCCAATCTGTGTTCTTGAAAGAATTCCAGGCAGCAGCTAAAATTCCAGTCTTGTGCCTGCTCCTACAAGAACTCAGAATAAATAGCCCAACTAGATAAACATGCACGTGTTACTGATGGGGACGGGGTGGCTAATGGAAACCTCACAGAGAGCACAGAGGCCAGTTAAGAATAAACTTAGGGTGGCTTCCAGACCAATAATGGATGGTTGTCACCGCCAGCCGAAAGCTTTGAGTTATCTTTTTATGCTGACCTCCATGTAAGCGGGACCATTTAATCTGATAAATTTGAGTAAGAATACTATACCGTGTTTTATTTTGTGTTCTTTTTTATGACTTCAAAGGAACATTAATTCACCGGATATGTCCATTTTATATTGACCATTTACCTAACCTCTGGGACTAGGCATGGTCTTATAAGGCCAATGTTATGAAGCAGAGGTTGGGGGCAGAGAGGAGAGAGGAATTATTAATCAACCTGAGTGGAAAAACAAATCGCTAAAACCATCAATTTCTACAGTTGCCAATAACTTCAGAGACAAAGGCTGGTACTGGTTGGTAGAATGATGTTGTGTATACATTATATATACCCTTGCCGCCTTCTCCCTAGCTTTGGCTACTAGGCTAGTATCTCTAATTTCCCAGCCTGGACCTTTCCACTCTGAGTTAAAAATATCAACCTCACCTTCTATGCACAACTCTGGCTGTTACCTGTTCATTCCTGTCTGAGGACAGACAAGTTTCTGACGAATCAAAGCTTGGATCATCCTGAGTCCTAAGGGGAAGAATGGAGGTGCTGAGAAGAGGTCACTAGATCAGAAAAGCAATTTTCCCCATCACTGTTGTGCACTCCGATAAAGTCAGATTGCCTTGAAGGATGCCTGAGTTTGGAGTTGGGGGCTGGAGGGAGGAATGGGGAAAGAGGTGAGTGAGGATGGCAGCAAAGAACTCAGTAACCGTTTTTATTTATTACTTTATATACGGGTGTATTTATATGTTATAAATATATATGTCTAAAATATAAAACATATATTTATGTTTTCACTTTATTTATAGCAGTATGTCAGAGACCTCATCCTGTCTAAGAGAGTACACTTTGCCAGGTGATTTTCATACCCAGCTCTTTTGACCAGTAGCCCTTCTACAATTAGGGTTTCTCCTACACTGAAAAGTAACTATGGCTGAAATCTTTTTCTGGCAGACTCCAAGAAGTTTACATTTCCTCAGCACCCTCATGTTTGGAGTCAGCCCACAAGAATACCGACTGGCCCACCCCCTGGCCCATTACCTGTGGTGGGCACTAGGGCTGGAAGCAAAGCCGTTGGTGGACAATCTCCTGAGGGCCATGAGCCTCTCCAGCCTGCGGACATCCAGGGAGGGTTCTAAGGTTGGGTTGCTGTCCCCGCTGGCTGGCTGGCCATGCCTGTCTGCAGTAGCTGTGTGTGACGACGGCTGGAACACAGCCCCTGCATCTCCAGGAAACTCTGACACACCAGAACTGGCAGGAGCAGGATCTAAGCTATCCTCTTCTGCAGCCCCAGTGAGGGCAACAAGCAAGAGTGTCTGTGCACTGCTGCCAAAGAGCGACAGGGAGACTGGGAGCTAAACAGAGGCCCAAAGACACCACAGAGAGAGGGAAAGCATTTTGTGGCAATGATTAGCACCAGCAGCTGTGATAATGGGCAAAAACTAGAGACTTTAGTGTGCCTCAAGGACAGACCATTAAGTGTGAGCCACTCAAAAGTGTTAATATAAAAATGATCTGACTAGAAATATGAGCCCTGACCAAGCAGCAAAGCACTCCATTTCTCTTTTTGTTTATCCTCACCTGAGGATATTTTTTCCATTGATTTTTAGAGTGAGCGGAAGAGGGGGCAGAGAAAGAAACATCAATCGGTTGCCTCCCACAAGCACCTCAATTGAGGCTGAGCATTGAACCTGCAACCCAAGTATGGGCCCTTGACTGGGAATCAAATCCATGACCTTTTGGTGCATGGGCCAACGCTGTAACCACAGAGCAACACTGGCCAGAACAAAGCACTTCATTTCTTAGCTCTTTTTAGAGTAAGTTTCTGGACTTCTGGGCTTGTGTATTCCTAAGTCACCAATCAGGGAAAATGGAAACCACTGCATGTTTTCTCATCTCTGCCAAAACCTGCTTCTAGCTAAAAAAAAAAAAAAAAAAAAAAAAAAAGGTGAAATCTTATAAACCAGATGTTGAAAAGCCCTCGGTCTTTCTAGCCATGTGAGTAACACCAAGTTTCCGGTCTCTGGCAGTGACTGGAGCCTCTGGTGTGAGATCACTGCCCTGCACTGCCCTCCACTGTCTCATGTCCCCTCTGTGACCAGCTGGCATGACAGCCCCGCATCAGAAATAGCTGCACACAGTGCCGTGAGCCAGCGTGGGCTTCGCAGTCAGATTACTGTCTGGATTGTGCTCTCCGCTCTGCTGGTTGCTGGAGGCTTTGGGCAGGTCCTCCCAGAGCATCAGCTTCTTCACTGGCAACATGGGGCCAATAGCAGGACCGCAGCACACGGTGGTTGAGGGGGTGGTGTGGGGCGTTGAAAGAGCATGATGCCCGCCCGGCACAGACACTCTGTGCCGAGGGCCTTCCTCCTCAATGGTCAGGATGATGCTGATGGGGTTCTCACCAAGTGTTGGCAAAGTGTCCCCGCCCCGGGCTCCTACTGGGTTGAGTTGAATCTTTTCATTTGGGGGGAGAGGGTGCTACTTTGTTCCAATGACTTCATTACTCAAAAACATTGAGAATGAGGAGGGGGAAAAAAAATCTAACACAGAGGATGCCAAAAATCCTGGCAGTGTCAAACGCCCACCTACACTGTGAATGCACTTGGACATCTGCGGGCCCACTATGTGCCAGGCACGGCCACAGGTTCTGCAGGGGTGATTTGTTTCTGGACTGAAATCTAGGAGAGGCTCTTAGATGTCCAACCTGGTCAGCGCCATTGTGGCTAAAGCTTGCACAGCAGAGCTGAGGAAGCTGAGTTACATCTGCCTACTGAGGAGAACGGGAAAAGTTTCACAAAGGAGATGTCTGAACTGCCCCTGGAAAGATAAATAGATCATCATGAGGAAATGTCAGAAGGCAGAACATGGAGACATAAAAGTAGGTCATGTCAAATGAGGTCGGGTAAGACCCCGAAGGGTCCCAAGGGCCTGTTGGGAAACATTTGAGAAATACAATATGCTATCTTCCCAATGCGAGAATTCATAATTCCCACTGGCCTGCTGAGGTCGTCTTATGGTTAAGAAACCTATTTCATTTTGTTAGATGAATGACACCTCCCCCAACATACACACAGACACACACACATACAGTGCACACATTCACAAACACACACACACACACACACACACACACACTCCTTTTTCCTTTGGGAAACACTAGGGTTTGTGTGGAGGAAGAGGCAGGAAAACAGGCCAGGGTCAGAAGGGAAGGAATGTGAGCAGCATAATAAGGCGTTACCCCAGAGCTGCTCAGACTGGAGTGCCGGAACCCCCCCTAAGGGACAGGGTTTCCGCAGGGTCAACCAATGAGGAAGCGGCAGGACCATCAGGAGGCCCCTTCCTGAAGTCTCCCTTTATTCACAGTCGCGTTAAAGGAAGCATGCCTGAGATCAGAAAGCCACACTTGCATGACTTATAAAATAGAACCTGAGGCTTCAGATACACGGTGGGCCTGCAGCATCTTCTTCAGGCCACACGGAGAGGCTTTCTGTGCTTGTAGGAAGATGCTGGTGCAGAGGCTGGAGGAGCAGCGCTGGGGGCTGGGAGAAGACAGGGGCTTGGGGCAAAGGCAGGTGTGGAGGGTGGAGGCCCAGGGTTAGCCCTGTGCCTGGGTCTGCCAGACTGAGCAGTCAGGGATTCAAACTGGATCCTGGGCATACCAAGTTAACAGAGAATAAAAGGAAGAATAAAGGAAAGTGGGGTTGATTACATTAAAGACTAGATTTTTCTATGCATTTGTTCAGAGCACTTAACTAAAATTCAATAATGAAAGCGAATTCCACAGCACCAGTGATTTTTAGGTAGGTGAAGCATTCTCTAGCTGGTTAATGTTTCAGAAGTTCATCGGCCAATTGGGTCTAAAATCACACGGTGAACCAGGAAAAAAGTTTAATGCCATCCACAGACTCTGATTCCTGAGGCTGTTCTCCACCCAGGCTGCCAAGAGCCATCTACCTACTGTGGAAATGAACAATAAAAACGGGATGAGTTCTTATTGAAGAAGGAAGAAGAGAGAAGGAGGAGCAGGGGAAAGAGGAAGAAGGGAGGAGGAGGAAGAGGAGGAAGAGAAGGAGAAAGAGGAGGAGGAGGAGAAGGGAGGAGGGGGATGAGGGGGAGGAGGAAAAGAATAAGAATAAGAATAAGAATAAGAATAAGAATAAGAATAAGAAGAAGAAGAAGAAGAAGAAGAAGAAGAAGAAGAAGAAGAGATCATTTCTTTCTTGAGCTTCCCTCCAGTTTAGGGTTTGAGGAAAACCACTGAAATATTGTGATGATTGGTAGAGTTGGGGGTGGCAGAAGACGGTTGCTATTTTTTGTTTTATTGGATAGTTTTAACTCTCCACCCTAGGGCTCAACTTAATTTGGGTGGTTGAGTGGACAGTGTTTGTTGCTACAAACACAGCAACTGGGCACATCCCCGCCTGCTAAGAACTGCGTTACTGTGGTAGGCAGTGAGAGGACATGAGCAGAGCAGGGAGGATGGGCCAGGTGACCTTCCCTCTCCCAGCATACCGATGGTCATGCGGTTTGGACCCCCTGACCTTTCCTCCCTCGAGATAACTTCTAGGCCTCAGTTGTATTTCAGCTTCAGGCCCAGGAAAGCAACAAAACCAGACCAGTGACCCCAGGACTGACCTCAGGACCAGCTGCATTGAATAATGACCACCTTCCTGGTGCCAAACAATCCAGTGGAGACAAGACCCTGAAAGGACACACCTGGACAGCTGCTGCATATTTTATTAAGATCTCCCCCTGGCCCTCCCCAGAAATCTCCACCCTTAATACCCTTAGGCAGAAGGTCCAGTACCTCTCCCACCCCAGTCTGCCCCTGCCTATTCCCCCCCACCCCCAGCCTCCCCAGGCATATTACCATTAGCTTCCTAACTCCTGGGCTCCCAGGGCCTTCCTTTGCCTCTATAACTTGTTTCCTCAGTCCATTTCCTCTATAAATTACTTCTTCCACTTCTGTGAGTTTATAAATAAACTAGAAGCCCAATGCACAAAATTCGTGCAGGGGAGAGGGAGAGGGGTCCCTTAGCCTAGCCTGCACCCTCTTCAATCTGGGACCCCTCGAGGGATGTACAACTGCCCGTTTAGACCTGATCCCAGCAGGGATCATCCCTCTCACAATTCAGGACTGCTGGCTCCCAACTGCTCACCTGTCTGCCTTCCTAATTACCCCTAACCACTTTAGCCTGCCAATCTGATTGATGCCTAACTGCTCCCCTGCCAGCCTGATTACCTCTAACTTCCCTCTCCTGCAGGCCTGAGTCCTTCCCAACCGCCCTTCCCTGCAGGCCCAGTTGCCCCCAACTTCCCTCCTCTGTTAGCCTGGTCACCCCTAACTGCCCTCCTCTGCAGTCCTGATCACCCCCAACTGCCCTCTCCTGAAGACCTGGTTGCCCCCAATTGCCCTCCCTTGCAGGCCTGGTCCCTTCCAACTGCCCTCCTCTAATGGCCATCTTGTGTCCACATGGGGGCAGCCATCTTGTGTGTTGGAGTGATGGTCAATTTGCATATTACCCTTTATTAGTTAGGATTTCTCTTGTAGTTTGAATTCTTTTCTAGCCAGAACTCAAGTACCAAGGTTGCGAACTCAGGTCTAGTCTGACCCCACTGGTCTAACACCTGGAGCCTTTCCTGGTGCCTACAACCTTGTCACGAATTGCTGCAGTTGGCCAAGGAGGGGGACTATTGCTTGTGTTGCAGAAACTGGAAACTAGTAACTTTGAAGTGAAAATAGGTAACTTTAAATTAGAATACCAACCTGGCTAGTGAATACAGCAGCAAGTCATACCTGGAGCAGGTCTTTCCTCTGGCCTCCACCCCAGGTTGGGCAGCAATGAGCCAGGCTCCAGCAATGAGCCAGGGGAAGGGGCTCTGCTGCTCACCTGCGGAGCCACAGCCGATGACTCTATCCTCGCCCAGTAAATGAAATATGACTGGATGACTGATCAACTGGGGAAAGAAAGCAGGGTGATCAGGGTTTAGTTCTCCTTAAATAGTACTGCAGGCCATCCTGCTAGTAAAGAAGACATGAACAAAAAGATACAGAACAAAAGTCTGAATTAGAAGAGCCAGAGAGAGATGACTGCATTACCCCTGGAGTGACTTCATTCTTTTTTAAAAACAGAAACTAATAGCAGCGAATAATGAAAATAGGAGAGGATAAGCACAAATCAATAAATATAGTCATTAAAAATTGCATTTTGACTAAAGGGTGTCTTCTTTAATTGTTCAGACTCAAAAGGATTTATCTTTGACTTTATTAATAGCCACTTCTGGTATACTGTAGTGTTATTTGAATTACACCATCAATTATAATTCTACTAGAGGCCTGATGCATAGATTAGTGCAAGAATGGGTCTTCCTTCCCCTGGCTGCTGGCACTGCCTTTGCTCAGGCTCAGAGCCACCTTTCTGCCTTCCCACGCTGCCCAGAGGCCCGGAGTGGCTGGGGCAGTGCAGAACACCTGTGTCATGGCCATGGCAAACACTAAGCATCCTGCCTCCAGCTGTTTGTCACCTATGTATGCAAATTAATCCACCATCTTTGGTGGGTTAATTTGCATACTCACTCCTGATTGACTGATGGGCGTCGTGAACGTACAGTCAATTTGCATCTTTCTCTTTTATTAGTGTGGATCATACAATTGCACAATTCTACGTAATTGCAGATTCTATTGAAAATTAGAGATACATCATTAATAAATACTCTAAGCAATGCTTGGGGCCGGGCACCCAGAAAACGAACAGCTCATCAGGGAAAAAAGAAGTTCATGTGATATTTTACACCCAAATAATCTCCACTGGATCTCAGAGATATGTAAAAACCACATACAAAAGAATTAAACAATTAAAAACAATGTTTAAAATATATACATTGGAGTAAGGAATACCACTCTAAATAAAACCCAGAAGCCATAAAGGAAAAGATTTTTTTTTTTTTTTTTAAAGATACTGACTATGGAAGAAATCAAAGGACAAGTGGTAAACTGAGAAAAATATTTGTAAGATAAAAAACAGACAAATATACAAAGAGTTACAGTGAACCAGTAAAAAGTTAACAAGACCCAAGATGATGAAAGGAGTCCACAAGAAATAAAACAAGCTCAAACATCATTTTAAACACAATTATAAACGAGACGCCATTTCATTCCCGTCAGGTAAATAAACTTAAAACTGAGTCATCACAGCCATTCCGATTGGGCAACAGAAAGAGGGGAGCGCTCACTCACTAATGCTGGGCCTCTAAGTCGGGCAGCTCCTTGAGGGGGCAACCTGGAAACATTTTTCAGACTTAACATACAGTCTCCTCTGGTGCACCTGCAAAGGGGGTGGATCTAGGAAACATGATAGCAAGTGAAGTAAGTCAGGCCCCAACTGACAACTTTAAATGATTCTACTTAGGATATGGAGACAGGAAGATTCAAGATTGCCAGGGGCTGGGGGAGAAAGGAGCAGCCTCTTACGGGCGTCTCTGTCTCCCCTGTCTTCCTGCCCCCTCCTCCTCATCTTTGCGTCTGGGAACCACCTCCCCGATAAACCCTGCTCTCGAATTCTTTCTCTGCTTTTGGAGGCCCCTGAACTGAAATAGTGGGGAATGCTCTTTTCACGCCTCAAATAATTTTAGTTTTAAATCATGACGAATAAAGTATATTTTGCACATCCGGATACACGGGATACATGGAGTTTGTTCAGCATAACTACATGATGTCTTATACTAAGGACAGAATAATTTTTATAAAAACGTATTTTGTGCCCTCCTCCTGTAGAGATGAGTATCAATTTAGAGATTAGCTATGTGATAACAAATATTTTGGCTACTTTATTGCTTCTTAGGATTAAGCCAGAGGTTAGCCCAGGAAACTCCTATGGGGACAAATCGATTTGGGATTGGTCACTGGGGCCCCGAGGCTCCCCGGGGTGTCTCGAAACACCTGGCACGGTGTTACCTGGAGCATAGGGAGGCCAGTGGGTGTGGATGGCGATGTGGTGAGGCCTGGGGTTCAGCGGCTGTGCCTGGAGGTGCTGGGGCTGCAGGTCCTCTCAGGCTGCCAGGCTGGCTCCCTGGGAGAAGGCGGAGGACGGAAGCCAGGCCGAGGGCAGCACGACCCAGCCTGTGAGGGCAGCGGCCACCCGCATCCTGCCCTTCCCTATGTCACAAGAAACATCAGCTTCCATCTAGATGCTATTTACGAGAACGATAGGATGTCTTTGTGAATGTGATGGACCTCAGTCCCACGCTGCCTTTCAACTTGAAGTCCCTTGAAGGCTGCCTTGCAGATCGCAAGCAACTCAAGGTCAAGATCAAAGGCACACCAAGCTATTGGGAGGGTTTAATTTCTAAATACTTAAAAAACAACACCTTTTTTCCTTTAATTTTCTCAAAAGTCCAGACCACTTCTTTTTATTTTTTTTAAATATATTTTATTTATTTTTTTTACAGAGAGGAAGGGAGAGAGATAGAGAGCTAGAAACGTCAATGAGAGAGAAACATCGACCAGCTGCCTCTTGCACATCCCACGGGGATGTGCCCACAACCAATGTACATGCCCTTGACAGGAATCGAACCTGGGACCTTTCAGTCCGCAGACCGACGCTCTACCGCTGAGCCAGACCACTTCTTTTTAGAAAGAAGATTTAATATTTAAGTCAAAGAAATAAGAAAATAATTATGCTCTATTTGCGAACTCCTTACAGACTGTCTGATGTGCAAGGTCAGGGTGAGCTATAGTTGTATAACACATTATTGCTGAAGTGAGACACCCAGTATTCCAATACAGTCGGGCAGCACATGGCATATGGTAGCTTGGATTAACATCTTATCTCTATAATTGCAAATCACAGTTAAACGCTACAAAATTCTGCCAACTCTCAATTACTTAGAGGTCACTGCTGCGTTCCCAATGCGTTGACAGCTCCTGTCCTCCCTCCTGTTGACTGTTTTTTTTTTGTTTGTTTGTTTGTTTTTTGTTATTTCACTACTTTTTCAAAGAGGAGATGAGCAGAAAAAGTTATATCCAAAGGGAGCCACTCTATACCTTGTTAAATATAGTGGCTAAAAGAACTGGCTCGGGAATGGGATAAAATGATTGGATGAAATAACACTGACAGAGTAATTTTAATTTTTTTGGCCACCTTGAATGACCATCAACAAAAATAATTCAAGGTTGACTGTGTAAAAGAAGTTCACAGGTGAAAATGAAGTGGGAGATAGCAAATAAGAGAGGTAAAAAGCTCTCTGAATAAATATTCAGGACTGTGCACTGGGCTTCCATTGATAGTTAAGAGATAATGAACAATGAATAATAAAGCATATTCTTAGTGGAGGGGACCTAGGGCCCTGCATTTTCAGAAAGGTAACATAGAAAATGCCCCTATTCAGGGCAAAGGTGGTCTCCTCTCCCCAAAGGCAGATCAAACACTGACACCTATGGAGGCTGGGGGTGAGTGCCACACACCATAGACCCCCGCCACAGCCACAATCCTACCCTTTCCCTCCTAAGATCTCACGATTTCTGCTTCCTCCTGGCACCTGGTCTACTTGAACCCGAGATAGCATGAACTTACCTAAGAGAACACGGTCCTCAGGTTGGATGGGATTGCAAAGACACGTCCTTTAAACAAGTCTTTTCTTCTCCATTCAGTTTCTCCTCGAATGGGCAGGAAAATAGCTGTTCCCCTAATCCTGGCATCCATAGAAACTGTCCCTCCATGTCCAAATCTGGCCTTCATCGCATTGGTTTTCTCTAAGACCACATACACACAGTTTCCACATCAACATCACCCAAACCCGTGTGAAGAACGAGGCCGACTGGAACAGGTTGTGCCCACGACTGGCACTGGCAGCAGGAGCCCGATGCCTTCACCTTGGTCTCCCTGCCGAGGGGAGAATGGATGAATCAGCCAACCTCCGTGTTCTCTGCTTCAGAGTCCAGGCGGGCTGAAGATGTTACCACTGGTGAGGCAGGGCTGATGCTAAGGCCAGAGAGCCAAGCTTCGTACAAAAACATTCCGCAGCACACTCCCTCCCTTCAATTGCAATGAAAGTGGAGTTCACAAACTTGGATACACATAAGAATCACCAGAGACTCTTCATTATAACACAGAGCCTGCACAGCAGTGGTTCTCAAAGTGGGGTCCCCTGGAGCACATCGTCAGGACCACCTGGGACCTTTTTAGAAGTACAAATCCTTGGACCCCACTCTGGACCTACTGAATCAGACACTCTAGGGGTGGGGACCCACCAAACTGTGGTTTAACAAGCCTTCTAGGTTATTTCAGTACAAGCAAGTGTTGAGAAACACCAATATAGATTCCCCAAGCTTCTTTCTAGTCCTGTGAAATAAAAATCTGCAGGAGAAAGTATTAGAAATCTGCATTTTTATTACACACCCCAGGAGATTCTTTTGACCAGGCAAGTTAAGAAAACACAGAGCTGAAGAATCAGAGGACAGTCAGTCAGTAAGCCCACGGAGACTGGAGGCCCCGAGAATTCTGGTATTTACTGGCAACGATGCTGAGCTTCTCCAAGGACGTTTGATGGATTGCAATGAGAGTTAGTAAAATAAGGATCTGAACACCAAATCTGTGACAGGCATTTATTTGGACAAGAAAACAAAGATGAATTAGATACTCTCCAGACCCATCAATACGCACAAGAAAACAGAGGAGACTCAGAAGGCTACACGGTGTATGATTCTGAGAAAGACAAAGTGATGGGGGCAGAAACAGGCAGAAACAGTTCAGGGGGTGCCAGGGGCAGGGTCGTGGGGAGGAGTGGTTGTTTCGGGGTTGATGACACTATTCTGAAAGGCCTGTGGTGTTCACACAACTGCATGTACTTGTTAAAATTCATAGACTGAGCACCAAACCCTCACATAAACAAAAACGGTATATAAGTAAAAAAGCAGAACAAACAAACAAAAAATGGAGGTGACAGATAGACACAAGGAACTACTAGGTAAGAGGGATTTTTTTTTTAAAGGTGTTAGATGAGGTGAACTCTATGAGAGTCCCACAGTTTCACAGAGGTTATATCTGAACTGCATCTTCAACAGAGAGTGAGTTTTTCTTGTCAATGAAGAAAGAACGTTCTAGGATTAGAAGGATGTACTGAGTACATTGTAGTCCGTGCCCTGATTGCAACCCCTGCAGAATCTCATGGTTCAAAGAGTGGTCCTTGGCCAGCAGCAGCCCCATGGCCAGAAGCTGGTGGAGTGCAGACCCTCAGGCCCCACTGCATATCCACTGAGTTGGCTTTGCATTTTAACAAGCCACCCCTCCTCCCCTGTGGTTCTTATGCTTATCAAGGCCTGGGCACACTTCTCCAGAGCTCATCTGCCCTTCCCTCAGGCCTGGGGAGAGTCCCCATACATACACCATGCCACAACCTCCCCCACTCACCAGGATTGATTGGTCACAGGTGGCGGTTTTCCCAAGACCTCAATCCATTAATCGGGCAGCAACTAATCAGGCTGCTTTGGGAATACTAGACTTTTCAAAAAACACATTTGAGCTAAAAGATTAAGGAAAACTAGGTGACACAGCAAGCCAAACAGGATTTCATTTCTGAGAGCTTTCCCAGTGTTCCCCTTCTCCTTGACTGGATTTAATGTGAGAGGGTTAGAAACATCAGTGATGAACAAGAATCATTGATCAGCTGCTTTCTGCACTCCCCACATGGGGGAATAAGCCTGCAACCCGGGCATGTGCCCCAGCTGGGAATCAAACCACGACCTCCTGGTTCATATATCAACGCGCGACCACGGCCACACCAGCTGGGCCTCATTATCTCTATGGACCAGTGGGGGGGGGGGGGGGGGAATGGGCTAGGCCACAGTGCATAGATATTTGGTCAAATATTCTAGGTGTTTCTGGTAAACATTTGTAGATGAAATTAACGTAAATTGGTAGAATTTGAGTAAAGCAGATGGCCCTCCACAGTGTGGGTGGGCTATACCCAATCAGTTGAAGGACTTAATAGGAAAAGAAGGGGCGATCCTGCTGGCAGACTGCCTTTGGACGTGGACTGCATCCCTCCCCCAGGTCTCCAACCTACCAGCCACCACTGTATTTTGGACTTGTGTGAGCCAATCCCTTAAATAAATCTCTCTACTGGGTAGATATCACCATTGTTCACAAATATTTCTGATTTTCTCTCCTTCTGGGACCATGAAAAGATTACACATTCCTGAAAACTTGAAAGTAGACTATGGTCACGTAACTTGCTTTGGCTAATAAAATGGAGTCAGTGGCCGGTACGACTTCTAAGCAAAAGCATGGAAGAGCCAGGACATGAATTTTAAAAAGTATTATTTTGGTTAATCCTCACCCAAGGGTATTTTTTTTTCCATTGAATTTTTAGAGAAAGTGGAAGGGAGATAGGGAGGGAGGGAAGAAGGGAAGAGATGGATTAGTTGCCTCCCCAAAAGTGCCCTGACAAGGGCTGGGGGCCAGGGATAGAACATGCAATTCCCATACATGCCCTTGACCAGGAATTGAACCTGTGACCCTTTGGTGTGTGGGCTGACACTCTAACCTAGGGGTGTCGAATTCAATCAGAGAAGGGGCCAAAATCTAAAATCCAGCCTAAATCGCGGGCCGAATGGTTTACTGAACAGTCATAAACTGTCATTGTGATGGAAACGCAGCGGAGTGCAGTGATGACAGCGCGGTGCGGGCCACATTGCAAGGCCTGGCGGGACGGATTTGGCCCGTGGGCCTTGTGTTTGACACATGTGCTCTAACCACTGAGATTCTTTATGCTCTCCCCTGTGGAAACAAGCTTTGAGTCATGCTGATATGGTCAAGACTTACGGTGCTGCCTCCCTCAGCCTGGGACCCAGGGTACAGCACTAAAGAGAATGCTTGTCATTTCAAAAAGCTGTGATTTGAGGTTGTTTATGATATACCACTCAACATGCTGATTGCAAATTTTTAATTTTTTCATTGTTGCAACTTGAGTAGAACTATTTGATATGGACCATGAATAGTGATATGGAATACTGTGTGCATTCACATGATGGCATAGTTTTTCTAAAATGATTTTATGTAAACTTTCCACTAACTGGCTCCCCTTTAGTCCACACTATTGTTACAATATTTTGCCAAACCCACCAACATCAATCCCACTATAAAACTTGGAATAAATGGAGCCCATATGGATATGAACATTTTGTAAACAAGACCTTGAGAACTAGTCTAACCAACTGTCAAATGTTTTATACTTTTATGAAGATCCTAGAATGTGTCCACCTTCTAGCTACTACTAAGAAAAGAAAATCTTTCAATAAGGCCGATGAAACAAAACAGAAAAGCTGGCTTTTGCTAGGTGAAAAAATAAGTATCAAGATGGAGGTTGAGCCACACGGGCCTGTGGGGAAATGAGATAAACAGATGGAGACAATCATTTTCAAAATTATCTAGTCCTGAGGTTATCTGGAATCTCAAGACATGAACATATGGTTGAGATTATCAAATCCATCTAAAGTGGTCTGATTTTAAAATGAATTCTCAAAATTTTGGCCCAATTAGAAAAAAAAGAATGGATAGCACCACTTTTTTTTTCTTCTATAAATACCCAAATCTACAAACTCAGTATGGAGGCAATGAGCCAGGTAGCATTTACTTCAATGCCCGAGGCCTCGCACAGTACCCTGCCTACAGGTGTCATTCAATAAACTCTAAGTTGATTTGTTATCACTTTCTCAAACCTGCCATCTCCCAGACAAGAGAAGCAGACTAACAGAGGAGCAGGGCAGACATCAGTGTCACCTCCTGTCCCCATTCTTGCCTGTCCACATCTGCATTCTTGGCCCCACTTTGGCAAACTGGACGCCAACTGGTAAGTCAAAGCTGGTCAGTTCACAACGTGGAAACGTGGACACACAGCGCTGCACGGCTGTGTACTGGTACAAACAGGCAGTGGCTATTGGAATGAAGGTGCACAGAGCCATGCGGGGGAGCATAGGACCTCCAGGAACTAGGTCACCAGAGACAAAACTTTGTCTTCCTTTTGGCATCAATGTCTTTTGGTGAAGAGAAGAATGGTTATGCAGTTTGGCTTTAAAGAATAATCCTGGCCACAGAATGGGTTGCGATTTACCTCTCAATAGAGGAGCTAGCCAGTCCTCCGGGGTCATGTGCTCTGAGGTCAAAGGTCAGTGCCATCCACACTCGGGGAACAGACTGGCCCTTTAGCCTGGAATGCTGTACTTAGGTCGCTGGTATCAGGGCAATTTCCCCCCAGAGGCTTCTCCTCTTCTTACAGATTATTACAGCCTCTCGGGTGGCAAACCATACACAGCAAGTCAATGCTGCCGAGACTTCAGACCTTAAGGGAATCCCTGAGTCACTTGTTACTATTTGTCACGTAATTAAGCACACTCCACATTTGCCCCGAATAAAAAAGCTTAAGCTGTAAACCATCTCTCAGTCACATTCCCTTGCTGGATGCTGAGATGAGAACAGGAAAATCATACCACATGTCTGCCATCTGTATTTGTACTTGTCAACAGCTCTGTTTTGGGATAAACAGTTTTGAAGTCAGAATCAATTCGACTTGTTGGAAGATTAGCCAAGGAACAGCTCAGAAGACCAAAACAGAACATGAAGTCAAATAGTCTAAAAAATTAAGCACAATTGCTGTTTCTCACTCAACATTCTGTTTTGTCGTAGAACAAAGAAAAAGAGCATAGCAGCCAGGGTTTGGGGATAGAGAATATATATATTTACTCAAGTGAAAAATTATTCAACTTAGAACCAACGCCTTTGCTGCGATGCAGCTGGAACACATTCACTGACCTCTAGGAGACTACAGTTAAGAAATAAGTAATTTTAGCAGTTACACTTTTCTCACTGTTCTACTCTGTGAAGGCATACACTGGGGACAGCTTGCGTTGGGTACAGTGCATAATACGGCCCGTTATTACCATAAAAATGGTAGCATTTCCCAAAGTCAATCTTGATTAGAAGTAGTTCCATGGTTGGAAACACTACCCACTGTAGAGCTATTAAAACAGAGAGATGGCAAGGGGGAAATTAAGACGTACACCGAAAAGGAGGCCAGGGAGGAAGGCAGCACAAATAGGATGCTACAGATTGCTGGGAGATAACAGCGGAATTGCTTTCAGAAGCAGCTGGTGTAAGTGAACGGAGGGCCCGGTAACCTGGCAGCCCCGCAGAGCCCAGGAAACAAATGAGAACATGCATGCTCCACTTGGAGGGGCATCCATTTTCTCCCTAAAAGAAGTCGTTTATAAAAGAGCAAATTGGTGATTTGTACTTACAGACTGGTTCCTTTTCAAGCCCCCGTCAAGCAGTGATAAATTATTGAAGCATAGCATAGTGTATTTTTGATGCACACACACTTAAAGCTTGCAAGTGTTGGTTCACTTTTCTCAAGTTATTAATTAAAAAATAATTGTTTCCACTTACTCTAGGATCTTTAAAATGAAACAAGACAAAGTGCCACACATACCTCTCCAGAACCAGCACCACCCCTTCTCCCTACTTCCTGATCCGGCCCCCCAATCCTTCAAGCAAGCTATTGTTTAGCCTGCAAAGAGCGGGAGGAGGGAGGCCAATACAACATTCACACAATTGTCTGGTGCTCATTCAACCACGGGGCCCAGATACATTTGTTGTCCCGAGACAGCATAAACTGTCCAGAGAAGAAAGCAGGGTTGAGGAAATCTCATTAGTAACTTGTGAACCCCCCTCGGTAGGGTCACGTACGGCAGAGGGGCTGCCTGGTGCCAGTGCTGTGCACACTGGCGCTTGGCTCCTGGACAGCGGCCACTGCGCACAGCTGCCACTTGAGGAAGGCTTCCGGATGCCCCTCCCTGGGCAGGAGTGAGGAGAGATTGTCCCCAGTCAGCTTTGCAACTGAAACCCAAGCTTGCTGTAATCTAAATGACCACCAGACGGATGAGGTGCACCAGCTCCTCCCCTGGCATGTTCACAAAACGAGTGACATTGATGCCAGTGTTCCGGAAAGGGAGCAAGGGAATCCAACAGGTCGAACAGCGCACGAGGAGATGCGAGATGACTGCGGGCAGACTTGGCTTAAATGGGACGTTTTCACCCAACTGGCATATTGGGAACCTTTCAAATTTCTCCCCCAAATCAAGTCAGATTCCCACTCTCTTCTATGGAAGAGCCACTCCTAGGTCCCTGATGCTATTTTCTATCAGGTGACTGTATCAGAGGCTGAGCTTCTGACATCATGGACCCTCAGGCTGAAACTGGGTGGTTTGGTAGAATATTCTCACTCAAGTATTTTGTATGGAAAATAGAAGGGGATGGAATAAAAGGGACATCTCTACGATGTTTGAGTTTTCATCCTGTGCATCATTTTAGTCAGCTGAGTAAGTAAAGCAATCAAACAAAAAGATTTTAAAGTCATGTAGGGAGAAACAAAGATCTTTCTTTTTCTTTAATTCTTTTTGCATTCTGCACAGACACAGAGGTAAAAGAAAATGACTGAAACTTAAATATGAAAGAATTCTTTACAATTAAATCCACAACTTTATACATTTATCTTATGCCATTGAAAAATCACCATTACTGTTTCTACTTAATAAATGAAAAATCACCAATTATTACAAAATATGACAAATTATATAAAAGAACCAAAAAGATCTCATAAAAAAATATATCCAGGTCTGAAGAGTGCTGTATGCTTGACGCCTTCACATCCTTCTCTTCTGTGTGCTTATGTATAACACTGAAAGAAACAAAACAGGCATTGAAGAACTGCTCTTAAGTATCATAACAGCAAGCTTTAAAGGCAACAGATTTTGGCCTGACAACTCTGCAAATCTGAAAGGAAATTTTTTCATACTACACAATAAACTCTAGAACTACTCTAAGACTAATTTTATGAATCCAGACTTGCTTTGCTGTTATATAGGACTGTGTTCTAGTCTTAACTGACTTACTTTTGTGACCAGCAGGGCAAAACAAAATGTATGTAAAAGGTACCAGAATACAAAAATGTTTTATAATTGTAGGCATATCAATTATGCTTGAAGTAAAGTAAATCAATAAGTTTTACGAGGCTAGATTCAGATTACGAATAAAGAACATATTTTCACCCATTTCCCCAACAGAAACTCTAAAGTTGTTGTCTAATTTTATAATTGCAACAGGATAAACAAGAGCTGAGGAGCTTGTTATTTAAAAAAGTTCTTTTTCTGAGTTTCCTGGTGTTGCCAAAGTGCTGCTTTGCTAGGCTTCCTGCGACCACCCAAACTGACTCTTCAGGAGAGGTGGTCTGTAAGAATAACACAGGATATAAGACAAAATGCTACACCTAGGTCACCAGAAGTGTACCTCCCTCCCATCCCCACCTACTCAGATTCTGACAGATTTGTTCACAAGGAAATTTAGAGAGATCTTGATCAAAGATCATCCTATATAAGAAAAGCCTAATACACAAAGTGTCTGGTTGTCCATTCAACCAATCAAAGTGTAACATTCTAATGATATGCTAAGGCTGTTCAACCACTCGCTACGAGGGTGCAGATGCTCCAACCAGTAGGTTAGCTTGCTGCTGGGTATCGGGACTGAGTGAGACGGGCTGGACATGCCTGGAGTCCTCCCGAGGGCTCTCCCTGACCCCGATTGTGTACTGGTGGGGTTCTTCCGCCTGGCCTGTGCCCTCTTGCAATCCAGGAGCCCTTGGAGGATGTCAGAGAGCCGATTTTGGCCTGATCCTGCTCAACGCAGGAGCTGCCCCTGGTGGTCAGTTCGCTCAGCCAGAAGAGGGGCTCACAGCTGGCCAGTGCAGTGGTGGTGATGGTGGGAGCCTCTCCTGCCTCCGCAGCAGTGCTAAGGATGTCCGACTGACAGCTTAGGCCTACTTCTCATCACTCAGACATCCCCTGATGGCTCCTGGACTACAAGAGGGAACTCCCACTCCTACCCCTGAGGCACGAATTTCATGCACAGATTAATCAAGTAAGCTAAGATCCTCTTTAAGAGTCTAGAATGTGAATGTAGGAGTCTAAAAATAACTACCACTGATTACTAACTATTACATCATGGAAAAGATATATGAAGAAAAGCATCAAAATGACAGCAAAAACATCCTGTGAAATTGGACATGGTCTTCATGTTGTATGCATGTGACAGGATCCATCCTATCACTTACAGAACCTGTAACTGACTGCTATCAGTTGTCTTGAAATGTTGAAAAATCCTAACATTTCTTAGTAAGTGTAAGAGATCAAATAAGAACAGTATGAAAAATGAGAAGAGAAACTCTATGTTAGAACTAAAAAGCTTATATATGAAGATATGGGAAAATATGGCACTGTATGACCAGGAGATGAAATACCCACACTAAGTCAGGGAGCCAAGTTCCCAGCAAAGGGGCTGAGGGAATTGTCCAGAACTAAAGAATACACACCAATAAAAAGTCTAAATTTAGGAGTCTGAGAGCTCCATTTGAGGAATGGGAACAAAAGTGGGAAGGGGTCAAGGGATAATTGCCATAATTTTGAAGTCTTCACCTTCCCCCTAAAAACTTCATATATTACTTTAGTGATAATGTGTTTTTAAATGAAGTACTTAAAAGCAAACACAATAATCACAACCATATATTAGCTGTTAAAAAGCTGAGTAACTTTAGCCAAAACCGGTTTGGCTCAATGGATAGAGCGTCAGCTTGGGGACTGAAAGGTCCCGGATTTGATTCCGGTCAAGGGCATGTACCTTGGTTGCGGGCATATCCCCAGTAGGGGGTGTGCAAGAGGCAGCTGATCGATGACTCTCTCCTATCGATGTTTCTAACTCTCTATCTCTCTCCCTTCCTCTCTGTACAAAATCAATAAATTTAAAAAAAAAAAAAGCTGAGTAACTTTAGAACCATATTTCCTGTTTTTTCATTTTTGTCAAATTAAAAGATAGAATCTCTACAGAAAGCATTTAAATGATTAACAAAGGACAAATTGGACAACAAACTGCCAAGTGATACAAACCAAAGATAGCAGGGAAACACTGGCCATTCTTACAGCCCCAGATTCCAGTGTGAGAGGCAGTGTTGGGGGAATAGAATAAACTGTATTCAACACAAAGAGTTCGGGCCAGTATACCAATGCCCCTCAGTAAGGGCAGGGGAGAATTTTTAGCCCCAAAATTCCATGAAGCTACTAAAATTAAACTGGTCACACTGAAGATCTGAAGTATAAGAATTTAAAAGTAAAACTAAAATGGAACTTTTAAGTTATCTAGAAAACCCGTTGGTGATCCTGACTATAACACAAAGGCTTAGTTCAGATGTTGTACAAGACACTAAAGAGTGAAGGAACATTACCGTTGTTTCCTCGGATGAATGCATCCCCATATTTATTCTTCAGTTGTCCGTTTACATATTCTTCTGTCTGCTCCAAGGCTATATTCATGTAGCCATCCAGGCAAGCCAAGACTCCTGCAGACAGATTGAGTCAAAGAGAAAATATACAAAGTAAGCAAGAGTTGAAAATTACAGGGTATACCTTAGAGCTGACCATCTTTCCATTCATTAGCTCTTATGTGCTTAATATAAAAATTCACACTATAAGTGATACTGAATAGATGGAAGCATAGAAAAATGCCTTAATTTAATGTCCATCTGAATAAAAGCTAAGAAGCACACAACATGAAAGTAGGAAAAACAACAAACTGTCACTTTTTTCATGGTATATATGTGATAAAAGTAACTTCTAAAGCCTTCACAGGAGTAACATAATAAGAATATGCCAAATGAAATTTGTTGAAAACTAAAAAAAGGAATGGGCAATTATTCGGGAGCAAATGACCATTAGCTAATTCTCCTCACTTCCAGGGGCATTTCTTACTTTAGCCACTAAGTGAAATACAGGTCTGGCAGATTTATTTCATTCTTTCACAACTACTGCAGCAAATGAATGTACTCCAAGGTTAAGAGGAAGTCTCCACAATCTGTTAAAATAATAAAAAAGGAGACAGCAGGTGCTCCTGGAGGAACAACTTAAAGCTGTGACTCACAGTGAAGAGCAGCTTGAGAAAACAAGGCAACATATTGCATTGTAACACATCCCTTTCTGTTTGTTAGTTATAATATTTCAAATCCAGACTAATACAGAAAAATGGCCACAAACATTCCAGGGAACTTTTAAGAAAACTGGGTGAATAGTTTTCAAAACAGAGTCTCTAACTTAAAGTGGTATTTTCTAGAGAAATAATTTAAGTGAAAGCAAATACTACACATTAGATTCAATTAACCAAGTCAACAACTTCATTTAGTCTCCATTTCGTTAGTATGCTCCTCACTCCCTGCCTCTGCCCCCATTCTCCTCTAAACAAGTTTCTTTTCAAAATTGTATGTGTGTAACGAGAGCACAAAACATTCACCTAAAAGAATTCTGCTAAAAAATGGAAGCTTTCTGAGAATCATGATGGATTCTGAACATTAACAATTATCTCCTATCAAAAAGTTTGAAACAACCTTAGTTTATTTCTTGCTGTATTAATGTTACAATTAAACCACAATCGTAAAAGAGCAAAAACCTTCTGAGACCTGATCTGCAAATCTGTTTGAAAATGCATCAAGAGCATTTCAGAATTAAATATTCACTTCTAATAAAATTAGCTATTCTCAAAGGAAAGGTTTTTGTTGTTTGTTTGTTTGTTTTTTTAAGAAAAAGGTGCCAGGAGGTTATAATTGTAACACCTTCCTTTCTCTAAAACAGAAAATAAAGTTTTTTTCAAACTTAAAGAGAAATGGCTACAAAGAACTGGTTTTTATTAGTAGTATTTAACCACAAAATGAGAGCATTCTGATAGTAATACTCTCAACAGTGTACAACAGTTTGCTTTAATAGTATAGAAGCCATGAGCAGACATTCAGAAAGAGAAAAGTCATGATTACTACCCATGTGAAAGGTTATTTAGCCTCACTAGTAAACAGAGAAATATAAATAAAATGATATATTACTTGTTGTCAATTAGAATGAAAAAGTTGAAAACAAAACTATTACAAGGGTTGGTGAGAACCTAAAGAAGATTGAACCCTCTGCTCCAATGCTCTGACTCAGAAATCTTAGCCTAGGGAATTGATTCTAAAGAACCACTTGGACAAAAGCTCAAGATATATGTCAAAGGAGCAAATATGTTTATAATAACAAAACTGGGAAACCCTTAAATGCGCATTCATAGGGAATTGGTTAAAAATTAACACAAAACTGTGGTACATCCACAAGGTAATCCCATGCAGTCATTAGATACTTTATATTGCCAGAGAACTGAACACATTTTTTAATATTAAAAAGAAAATCATGGTGCATGTATAGCTGATCCCACTGATGTAAAACTATGCTTATATGGAGACAGATCCAGTTGGTAAGGCAGATTGTAATCTGGGTAGTAGAATTTTGGGAGACTTGGCTTTCTTCTGGAGTATACTTTTCTCCAGCATTTGCTTTGAAATTTATAACAAGACAAAAAAAAAATCCCACATATGTTACATTTATAAATAGGTAAATTTCCCCTAAAGATCAGAGATAAAAAGGTCCAACTGGTTGATCTCAATGAAGTGGGTACTGAGAAGATATTGAACATATAAGTCTATTACATACTCTTTAGGCTCATCAAAAGTTCATGGATGAGAGGCAGTACAGAGAAACTTTATAATATCTCACTACTCAGTATAATCCATTGGTTTCACTAAAAAAATCAATTTAAATCGGAGATGTTATTAATATCAAGAAATCAAAACAGTACATAAACAGCAAGATGTTTGTGTCAAGCTTGAGTCTGAGGCCTAGTTCCTCTCTTACCAGGTGGGGAAAATCAACAGAGATTCAAAGGACTTATATGAAGATAAAATGAAAATTAAAGTGTTGAGTACTCACTGGACCGACCCACAGTAAGCTCTCAATAAAATTAGGTTTGAATGTGTGAAAAGAGAAGAAAGCTCAAGAGATTACTATCATTATTCAGAAGAGATGAAAAATTATTCAAAAAGGAGACTAAGAAAAGGCCATAACATTCTGCTAATGAATTAGTTTTCTATACCTGTAAACTAGTCCAGGTAACATAACATATCTTAATTTGGAAGACTAGAGATTTAGTAACTTTAAAAAATGAAATTTGACACCCACAAAATTAATTTTAGTAGTGTCACAGTCTTAAAAAGAGCATTCTCTAAAAGAACAGAAAGGTGTCTTTGGATAACCCGCACATTACGTGAGTGGGAAGTTTATGCTGTAAAATGACACTGTCTAAATAGCTGCTGCCAATCTTCAATATTTCTGCAAAACAAACACTATCGTGCCAAGGGTTCCTCAGTATCCAGCCAGCTAATTCACGCCCGAGGTGACTGGGAATCCTTGGCTGCTACCAGGGCACCAGGGAACTTAGGCACACAGGCTCTCAAAGCGGACACAGGAGACGGGAGCCGCACGAACCAAACGAAGTCAGAAGCACACACTCTAGTGTCAGCTTGTCTCTAAAGGGGATCAATCCAGGCGAAGAAAAGAGGTGGGCATAAAACTGTTGACAACCAATGCTTTTTGAGGTTCATTGGATATGTTCAAAAGATTGCTAAAAATCAGTTAGTCAAATGTACTTATCTCATTACACCACTGAGGATGAAGCAGAAAAATATTACCTCGATAATCCACTCCAGAATTTAGTTTTACCACCACTGGTCGTCCAATGATTTGCTTTAAGAAGTCGCTGGGAGTTTGCTTCCGTAGACTCATTGTAACAATCCTGATCAGAAATCTGAAAAGGGGCAATAAAGGCAAGGACAAAATTAATTATTGAGCATAAAAAAGCCTGAAGTCCTTAACATATTTATAGGACACCAAGTATCAATGGAGCACATGTGAAGACTCGACATTAGTCCACCACCACACAATAGCTAACATGTTTCAGGACCTACTAGGAGGCAGAAACTAAGCGAGGCACTTTCCATACGTTATCTCATCAGTCCTCACATCGACCCTCTGACATAGTCTCACAGTAGAAGGGCCCTGTTCTCAATCACTTGTACCACTGTCTCACACACAAATCAGCACACCCACTACTGAATGCTTGTTTTATTTATGCAGAGCACTCTGCTAAGATCCTTATACACACTACCAAATTTAATCTTTACAAGAACCCTAGGAAGGTCTTAATATCCTCTAATGAAAATAAAGGCACACAGAAAGATGAAATAATTTGCTCACAAATGTGATGAAACCAACATTCAAGCTCAAATTTTAAACTCTATTCAAAGGTTCTCATAATGTAAGTTAAATAATTTTCTTTACCAAGACAAGTCAACATCCCAAGTTAAATAGCAGAAAATACAAGTTCCGAAAACTACTCTTGAATTTGGAGATTATTTAGACTTTCTCATCACTGTATCTCCCCAAGTCCTGAAAAAAATCTTAATGCGATCAACTGATTATTTTGCTCAGCAAATTTTAACTTTTCCATTGAACTGTCAGTGCATTTTTTTGCTACACAGTTTAAACAGATAATTAAGATCACAACTACTACTCTGGACAACCACTATTCATTCAGGACTCAGACCACACAACAATGTTATGCAGATTTGAACACAAGGAAAAGAAAAAACAAAGTAAATACTGTAACAGATTATATACCTTTAATGAGTTTAGTAAAAACAAATCTTCCCATTCATTTATAAACTGCCTTATTTATGTGCTGAACATGTGCTGGTTTGTGTATGAATGGATCTAGAGGCTATTAACCCTGAGGGCCTGATATTGACTCCACTCAGGAGTCTTAAGTTCATTTCCTATCAGATGCTAAATCCCATTATGCCAGTTTCTTCATATACTCTGTATTATCGAGATCAAACTAGCTGTTTATTTTGTGTTAAAAAACCAGTAAGATGCATCATGAAGTGAAAATCTAGTTCTCCTTGTCCAATTAACAAGAGAAAAAAGAATATGAACCTAGACTATTAGTTGTTTAACTGTTGGTGTCAAGGTTTTTTTTGTTTGTTTGTTTTGTTTTGCATTTTTTCTCTTTGTTGAATTTATTGGGGTGACATTGGTTAACAAAATTATACTGGTTTCAGGTGCACAATTCTACAGTGAATCACCTGAACTGTACTGTGTTTACCATCCCAAGTCCATCACCATTTATCCCCCCATACCCTCTCACACCTGCTCCTTCTCCACCCACCCATGCCCGACCCCCACCCAACTGGACACACAGTTGTCTGTGTCCATGAGTTTTGTTTTTTTTTACTCTATCTCCCATCTTCCATACCCAATCCCATCCCCTAGTCTCATAGAGCTGTTAGCCTGCTCTATGAGACTGTCTCTATTTTGCTTATTAGTTCATTTTGATCATCCCAGACTATTAGTTGTTTAACTGATAGTTATTATTTTAAAAATCTTATTAATATTATCTCCCATCACCTTAAAAAAAAAAAAAAAAAAAAAAAAAAGTACAGCTATAGCCCTAACCAGCTTGGCTCAGTTATTACAAGGTCAAGCTGTGGACTGAAGGGTCCCAGGTTCAATTCTGGTCAAGAGCATGTATCTCAGTTATAGGCTCAGTTGGAGCCCACGTGGGATGCAACCTATCACTGTTTCTCTCACAGTTTCTCTCTTCCTGTCTCTCCGCCTCCCTTCCATTCCTTCTAAAACACCAATGGAAAAAATATCCTCAGGTGAGGATTAACAAAAAATAAAAATAAAAAGATAAGTAAAAGTACAGCTATATTCTTCTAAGCTCATCAAAGATCATACCGCTGCCATTAAGCCTCGTCTTACTCCAATTAACACTGATTTCTGTCTGAAGGCTTTCAACACTCCAAACTTTCACCAGCACCTTAAGTGGCAGGCACAGAGGCTGGGTAGATGTAACACCTACAAGATATGGCCTTGGACCCTTAGAATTTATACTTGGAAGCAGGCTGTGCACGCGCGTGCGCACACACGCGCACACACACACTCCCCCTTGTAAAAGGAGAATTTAAAGTTGTATGTAGTTGGATAGAATTTTGCAGAGAACAGCACACAGAAAGATCAGAGAGGACTTCTGGAGGGGACACCTGAGCTGAGTGTGAAGGAAGAGTCCACCAGCGGAAAGGACAGAAAGCTGGGCAAAGGCACTAGACAGTGTGAGGAGAAAATCTACACAGGCAGCGAGGGCAAGCCTCTGCCGCAGAAGGCAGCAGGGCCACATGCCTGGGGAGCATGACTAAAGGAGCTTGGCCTGGAGCCTCCAGGGCCATTTTCCAAACATGAGCCTTTTGGATCACTTGGAAATTCTGCTTCAGTAGAACCAGGGTAGGAACCGGGATCTGTTTGCACAAGCCTAGGAGACTCCCACGGACTGGTGGGTATGGGAAATACTGTGTCCGTGGCCGGGGACATGGGAGGGGTGAAGCAGAGACCTGCCTGAGTACCAATGTCCGCTTCAGATGGAGTGGAGATGTGCCACCTCTCTGCTCTGGCATCAAGTTTCGCATCTGGTTGTATTTGATGCAACCTGTCACCAATTACTGTCTTATATTCTTTTTTCTTTTTTTAAATACAAGTCTTTTCTTCCTCAATAGACTGTAGTAAGCCACATGAAAGGAGAGACAAATACTAAGCTTTTCATTTATTCTCCAGAACATCTATATTCTGGCAAATCTCTAGAAAAATATTTTAAGAGTTATTTGGAAAGAGGATGTTGCTTCAAACACATTTTATCCATCACTTTAGAAACCGTATTTTTTACATTCATCTTCATTAGGCTTCCTTGGTACTCCTTGTTACTTAATGACTTGCCCATAAATCCATTTTGTGTGAGTAAATTGGTCTCAACATCACAATTTTTCCCATCACTTTGGCTCATGTAACTTTAAGTTTCCATCTTTGAAATCGGGTAAGGCAGACGGAACAGTTCTGACCATTTCTGAAGCAAGAGAACAGCCTCTTGAACCACAGACACACAAGAGTCAAAAGGCCTCCTCTGTGCAGGTCACCTTGAGAAAACTCCTCCCTTAAAAATTACCGCCATGTTCACCCTCTAGGCCTCCTCTGCCTCCAACCCGGGTGTGTCCTAACTAAATTACCTATTTTCACACATGGCTATTAAAAGCAGAACCTTCTTCCAGGTCTAAGATGAGAACATCTGCAAACTGCCCTGCAGAGATTTCCTTTAGTAAAAAAAAAAAAAAAGGGGGGGGGGGGGGAGTGAGAACCAAATTTTACTCATAAGTGACAGGCATTAGTCCTGAGCAGCTCAGAAGGTCACCAGGTGAGGCGGCAAGCAGAACCTAGGCTTGATCCCAAAGCCAAGCCCTTGCAAAGGCACAACTGCCCTTTGGACTATGTCACGGTTCTCCTGCTGAACCAGGCGATGGCCAGACAGTGAGAGGGGGCCTAAATCATTGCAAATCAGCCCGTAAAGACTATAACAATCAGAAAGAAATATCTCTAATGTGACTTTGAGTTATGTCACTGAGGAAAAATCACATAAATTCTTGTTTCTTGGCCATGTTTACCTGGAAAATTTTGCCTACTCTTAGAATATTTACTACTATCATTTAGGGTGGAAAAAAAAATGAAAGGCAAAATATTGCTATGAAACATAACATTACAAACCAAGTAAATGTACTTTAGCAGAATATATCAGTCTGAGAGGACATCTGACACTGAGAACAGCTCTCCTTCCCAGCGGGCCAGTCTCCCATAGTAGGCTCCAAGCTTCTTGAGCATCTCTGGTCCCTAAGCACACTGCCCAAGCTTGTGGAAGGGGCATTTAAGGGCAGTGCTGAGACAAATCCCCGTCCCTCCCCTCGCCAACATATGGGTATAGTGACTAATACAGTATCATTCACGCACTTGAGCAGCTATTACATAGTAATATCTCTATTACTAACCACCAAATAAAATGTGGAGAGAGAAGAAATGTTTCTTTGTTGCCCAAGAAGCACTTGCATCTGAGTCAACATAGAGATGCTTGCTAAAATGCAGGTTCCTGAAGCCTTCCTTCCCAAAGTCAGACTGTCTAGGCAAGGGGCATTGGAATTCACATAAAGTTCCCCAAATAACCCCGAAAACAAATGGATCCTGACCAGCAGAGATTTTGCCCCCCAACACTGGAAATGTCTAGAGGCATTTTGGATTGTCTTGAATGAGGATACTAGTAGATAGAGGCCAAGGACATTGCTTACCCGTCTACAAAGGATAGGGAAGCCCATAACAAAAAATTAACTGGCCCAAAATGTAAATTGCGGGTGAGAAACTGCTATTAAGTCCTAAATCAAAAAGAGCATTATTCTCTGGTCTCAACATTAAGTGAAAAGAAAAAAAGAAGAAAAAAAAAACACCTTCAAGGTATAACAAATCTAACGGGATGAAAGAGTATAAATTGTAACTTATTAAATACTTTATCCCTCAATTAAGAGAATCTAAAAACAACTACTGGCTGAAACCGGTTTGGCTTATTGGATAGAGCATCGGCCTGCAGACTGAAAGGTCCCAGGTTCGATTCTGGTCAAGGGCATGTACCTTGGTTGCGGGCACATCCCCAGTAGGGGGTGTGCAAGAGGCAGCTGGTCGATGTTTCTCTTTCATCGATGTTTCTAACTCTCTATCCCTCTCTCTTCCTCTCTGTAAAAAATCAATAAAATATATTTTTAAAAAATAATAAATAAATAAAAACTACTGTCAAAAAATCTTGAAGGAGTTATCATTCTAAATAAGGATTTCTAGTCCTGGCCATGAAAATGGGAGCCTTTCCCACTTTCCAATGTCAAAGATCCCTGGGAGGATTGAAATCTCTGTTACATGGTACAATTGTAAAAGGAAAGACTAATCCAAGGGATGTAAATATCTCTTCAAATTCTAGTATCGAATATGCCACAGCTCAGTGAGACATAGCTGTGCGCCTTGGATAACTCATCATTTCACCTCTCAAGGCCTCAGGCTCATCTGCAAAATAAGGCAGTTATGCTAGAAGATCACTTAAGTGACCAGTCAGCCAGCCTGCACAGTAACTCCAATAATATACACACGCTAACGTAACCTCTCAAGATTCCTTCACAAAATTTAAGGAAGTGGACTTGCCAGACACCACCACTTAACAAACAACCAACAACAACAAAATGCCAAACAGGCTCACCTTTGCTGGTTGGTGTATTATAAATGTATTATCAGCTATCATAATTTTGGTGCAACAGGCACAGCCCTACACGAATGATGGAAACAACTAAACTATTTTGTTAAACAATCTGGCAAAGTGTCTGAAGACCTAAAAAGACCTTCCTATGAGGCAGCACCTATTCTAGTAATTTCACTTCTCAGAATCTAATCCAAGTAAATAATCTAAAATACAGGTCTGTGGATTTTTTTTTAAAGTTTATCAGAGTATTGCTAAAATGAAGCAAGAATTCACAAATATCCTAAATGCCCCACAGTTGGGATAGTTGAGTAATTTTGGGGGCATACATAATGATGGGTTAGGTAGCTAATCAAAAGAATACACAAAATGAGAGATCTTATTTAGAAGATTTTTTTTTTAAATGATGAGAGAGGGCAGGAGGAATTTTTAAATAAAACTGGAAAACAAAATATAAAATAAGTAATCTTAGCTCCAGGAGAAATGAGCACATTCAAGAGTGAAATACGCAAAGACATTGTAAATGGAATGGTTCAGAGAATGATTTCCTTACGGAGCTCTTCGGTGTTTTCGATTTTTCTGCAACAGCCTCAACTACTTAGGGGACCCCACTAAGCCACGAACACCTTACCTGCACCACTCTGATGCTGGAGGCAAGAGCAACAACCAGGGGCGCCCCTCACCCAAAAGCCCGGGGCCAGAGCTGACCACCACACAAAGGCAGGCGGGCGTCCCCAACCGGGTAAGGTGGGCCAGCCCAGCTCGCCGTCCCCGGGTCCAGTGCAAGCACCCCGATGGCTAACGGCCCGGCGGGCGATGTCCCGCAGCCCTAACGCCCCGGCGAAGCGCGGACCAGCTCGGAGTCCGCTTTCCCGCCGAATCCCCTGGCTCAAGTCGGGGTTCCCTGAGGAACCTGGACAACCTGGGGTGCACTCGGAAGCCAGATCCGGGGGCCCCGGCGGGGCCGTTCGAGACCGCGCGGTCCAGGGAGGGACTCTTGGGGAGGGCTCCTCCCGGCGCCGAGCACCCCGGCCGCGCCAGGCGCCACGCGCCACGAGCACAGCCTTCGGGGACCGGCCTCCCGCAGGCTCCGCGGCTGCTCCCCACCCCGCCCGGGGCGGCGGAATGGCCCGTGCGTCTCCGGGCTCACCTGGTGGCTGGGACCCGGAATCCCCTCTCTGGGAGCCCCACCAGCCCAGCCTCCGCCGACGGGACGAAACCGAAAGTGAAACCGCGGAGGCGGCGGCACTTTTCCGCCTCAGCCAATCCCTGCTCCCGGGGCTACGGCGGCCCGCGGGGCCAAAAGAACCCAGCCTGGCGGGAGCGCGCAAATCCTGGTGCTCAGGCCAAGCCCGTGCTGCAGGGCTAAATGGAAATCACGGGTGCTCTCTCCTTTAACAGAAAGCCCCTTTCACCCCCGCCCCCCCCCCCCCGAAAAAGCCATAAAAGGAAAAAACTGGAAGTGATCTTTCAGGCAGAAATGGAAGAAGTAGCTTGAAACTAATGACTATACACACCCAAAAATGTCCTGGAATAATGGAAAGCAAATAAACAAATAATAAAAGAAGGGGCCTCGAATCTTTAAGTCCACTTTTGGATTTTGATTTAAGTGTCTCAAGATGAAGCCTAAGAGACTGTTTCCGTGGCAACGATAATTGACACAAATAGGATTAAAATCACTAAAGTAACTATTATAATGGAATAAATTGCATTACATTACAAACTAATTCTAATTGGAAATGGTGTGCAGACATTAAGTGCTGCTATGGGAACTTGGTGTGCATTCTCAATATTCTTGCTATAAATGGAAAGGAAGAGGTAAATAAGGAAACTGTCAAACCCAGACTTGATTCCTGTTTCTGCACACATGGCCTCATCAAATTAAACCGTATACTTTAATTCTACATAATTTATAACACTGTAAACAGTGATAATATCTTTAATCAGATTCTTAACCCTAAGTGTTATAGAATCTAAGAGACAGAATTTTTTTTCTAAGACAAAAAATGAATTCCTCCTTTTGTAAGCTAAAGAGATGAACTTTTGATTGATATCACAGATAGAGAACGACTGGGCATGGTTTGGTACAAAAGACAGACTTTCTTGTATCCTATAAAAGCTCACTGTGAATAAAGAACAAGCATTATGAATTTGTTGAAAGACTACATTTGAAGTCCTTGCAGTATAAAATATAATGTAAACATAAAATTTAAGTATTAATTATATCAAATAATTAGCTGCAAAGAACATACATAATTCTGTCTAATAAAAGAGTAATATCCAAATTAACCATCACTCCATCACAAAGATGGCAGTGCTCATAACCACAAAATGGAGGCACCCAATACTCTCAATCTCTCCAGAGTCCCTCAGTCCTGGGGAGCGGACACTGAGATAGGGCAGCATGAGGGGCCTGGCAGGATGCTTGCTTCGTCACCACATGGACGGGGCAAGCGTTACACACCCTGCCTTGGATGGGCCTCTGGGCCACGGAGAGCCTCTGGGCAGTGGAATGGAGTGGCCAGGCCCTGCAGAGAGATACTGGTGCAGGAATTTGTGTGCAGGGCTACTAGTAGAATATAAAGCCTTGTCCCTTAAAACCTTTTTCACAAAAGACATCAAATTGTACCATATTCCCCACTATTTGTTTTAATTATTTAAAAAAATTTGTTTTGATTTATAGCTTCTTTCCCTTTGCCAGAGTGCCCTGATGGAGTCATTAAGACTGGTGTGGTGGGCAGGGGGTCATGAGGAATTTTAAGGTCATGGTTCATCTTCAGAGGCAGCTGCAATAATTTCCAAGGGGCATGGACTGGAAGGGCCCAACTAGACAAATGGTATGGGCGCCATGAATTTCTTCACAAGCCAACAAGTTTACCTAAATGTGCTTATCCAGAATTTTTTCAGCAGCTTGTGATTGGCTTTTACCAATTCACAAGGCAACTTTCCATATTTCACAGGGTATTTTTAGTGTCTTTAATTTTGCAAAGAATCGGCAAGATTTTTGTGAAGACTAGTCCACCAAGAACTCACCTTCAAACCCATGGACATAAACATTAATTTATTAAGGCCATAAAGATAAATAGTATACATCATAAAAGTAATTTGACAAGATTTACTTTAGCTTACATAGTTGTTTAGTTTAATCTTTAAAATTGACGAACCTACATTGACACATTATCATCACCCAAACTCCATAGTTTGCATTGGGGTTTTTATTGATTTCGGAGAGGCAGGAAAGGGAGAGAGAGGTAGAAACATCAATGATGAGAGCCAATCATTGATCAGCTGCCTCTCACATGCCCCTTACCTGGGATCAAGCCTGCAACTCTGGCATGGGACCTGACGGGAACTGAACCGTGCGTGACCTCCTGGTTCATAGGTCGATGCTCAGATATGGTTTCTGAACCACACTGGCCAGGCATGTGTTTACTTTTGTGTTGTACATTCTATGGGTTTTGACAAACATATAAAGACATATGTTTGTGCCTATTATGATAGTATCATACAGAGTATTTTCACTGCCCTAAAAATCCTCTGCGCTCTGCCTATTCATCTCTCTGTCCCCACTAATCCCTGGCAACCACTGATCTTTTGACTCTCTCCATGGCTTTGCCTTTTCCAGAATAGCATACAGTTGGAATTCTACAACATGGAGCCTTTTCAGTTTGGCTTCTTTCACTTAGTAATATGCATTTGAATTTCCTCCATGAGTTTTCATGGCTTTAAAACTAATTTCTCTTTAATGCTGGATACCGTGTTTCCCGGAAAATAAGACATCCTCTGAAAATAAGACCTAGTGTATGGAAAGATAAGACATCCCCTAGCGCAACTTTGGGAGAAAAAATTAATACAAGACCCTGTCTTATTTTCGGGGAAACAGGGTAGTAGTCCATTGTTGATGGAGCATAGTTTACTTATCCGTTTACTTACTAAAGAACGTCTCAGCTACTTCCAAGTTTTGGCAATTATGAATAACCTGCTATAAACATCTGTATGCAGGTTTTTGAGGGGACATAAGTTTTCAACTCATGGTAAATGAGTTTTCAACTCTTTGGATAAAAACCAGAGAGTCAATTGCTGAATTATATAATGAGAGAATATTCAGTTTTGTAGGAAACTGCCAAACTGTCTTCCAAAGCAGCTGTACCATTTTGTATCCCCTCCAGCCATGTATGAGGGTTCCTGTTGCTTTACAATGTCACCAGCATTTGGTATTGCCAGTATTTGGATTTTGGCCATTCGGTAGGTATGTAGTGAAATCCCATTGCAGTTTTAGTTTGCATTTCCATAATGACATAAGATGTGGAGTATTTTTCCAAATAATTTTAAATAGGCTTTTATTGATTTTAGAGAGAGAGGAAGGGCGAGGAATAAAGAGATAGAAACATCAGTGAAAGAGAAATTGATCCACTGCCTCCTGCATGCCCCCTACTGTGGATCAAGCCCACAATTCCCAGCATGCCCCCTACTGGAAATCAAACCGGGGACTTCTTGGTTCATGGGTCAATGCTCAATCACTCAGCCACACTAGTGGGGCTAGAGTATTTTTTTAAACGCTTATTTGCTATCTGTATATCTTCTTTGGTAAGGTATCTTTTCTGATTTTTTGCCATTTATTAAAATTGTTTGATTTAAAAAAATATATATTTTATTGATTTTTTACAGAGAGGAAGGGAGAGAGATAGAGAGCTAGAAACGTCGATGAGAGAGAAACATCGACCAGCTGCCTCCTGCACACCCCACACTGGGGATGTGCCCGCAACCAACGTACACGCCCCTGATCAGAATCGAACCTGGGACCTTTCAGTCTGAAGACCGATGCTCAACCACTGAGCCAAAACGGTTTCAGCTGTTTGATTTTTTTTATTTTTTATCATTGAGTTTTAAGAGTTTGTTGCATATTTTAGATAATAATTATATATCAGAAATGCCTCTTGCAAACATTTTCTCCCAGTCTATGGCTTGTCTTTTCATTCTCTTGAACATATTAAGTATTCTTAAAATAGGCAAATCTATAACAATAAAAACATAATATGCTAATTAGTCTGGACAGACTAATATCTTCACCCCCCTCCCTCTCTTTTTTACAGTGTAGCCTCTCAGTCATCACACTTACGGGCAGGGTCTCAGTTACAACTCTCTACCCCAAATGGGCTCAATGCCTTCTCTCTTATACTCCTGGGCATTAACACTGTCACTTCTGTTCTTTCTCCTGATCCAGTACAAACCTCATCACCTCCTGGGTGACCGTGGGAGCTTGAAACTGGTCTCATCAGTTGGAGCCCAAGTCCTTTCTCTTCAAGCAGGCCAACTTCTAATTGTATTTTAGGTCTTAGCCCAAACATAGATGCCTTAGAGAAGACCTTTAAAAAAAAAAAAAAAGAAAGAAACACATATGTTTTTATTGATTTCAGAGAGGAAGTGAGAGGGAGAGAGAGTTAGAAACATCAATGGTGAGAGAATTATTTATCAGCTGCCTTCTGCACACCCGCATGTGCCCTGACCAGGAATAGAACCGTGATCTCCTGGCTCATACCTTAGGTAGATGCTCAACCACTGAGCAACACAGGCTGAGCATTAAAGAAGACCTTTGATAATCCCTCAGATTAAATATTTTTCCTCTTGTTCATGACATATACTTCTCCTTTATGCTATTTGTGAATGCCACTATTAAATAATTCTGTGTGTGAGTATGAGTGTGTGTTATGTGCGTGTGTGGGTGTGTTTCTTCCCTGTCAGCCCAGGACCAATGTCCATATTATTTAATAACATGCTATAATATCTTCTGAGGAGTAACATGAGCTCATGGACTGATGGACAAATTTCTCAGGAAAGCCAGTGTGCCTTTTATTTTTGACAAAAGATGGGACATATTTTACCTCATGGGCACTTGGTTTCAGCTATCATGTTTGAGATGCTTACATAAATGCTCAGACTCCATTTTGGTATGACTTTGAATTTCAAAGCGATAGGCCCCACGTCTGAGCTCCTCTGAGCAGAGCCTTTCACTCGCCAGGATGCTTTATGCGCCGCCGTGAACTCCAGGAAACCTCTCTCAGCTGTAAAACTCAGTGAAAACGGTGTAACGCTGCCCTTGTATTTTAATCAAGATGAACTTGAAAGGTGAACATTATAAGTGGGAGAAATTATTTATAATTTGGTAATAAAAGTTTATGTCCAACACTCCAAATTTCATACATCTGCAATGTGCTGGCCCTGAGATATAAAACAATTGGAGTTGCCTTTACATTTGGCCTTATATGAAAGGTCATAAATTAGAGTGAT